ATAACAAAAACAAACATAATTATATTAATTATCCTCCCAACATAAATTACATTTTTCCAACTTTTATTTATATACACAAATTAAAATATCAAAAAAAATTAAACAAATACCCACCACCTACATCATCTCTACGTACACCACTTTCTCCATTTCTTTGTTTTCCACACACCCTCTGCATCCATTTCATTTTTCTTTCTAACATCCCTTAAATAATATAAATATACTTTTCCTCTTACCATACGAACACATTCATCCACGGATAAATATTCATTTTTAAAGGCTACCAAATTTCTCACATCCCACAAAATCTCTTTAATACATGACACAATAATCCATAACACTCTCTCTTTCTTTTTCTCCAGTTTACACATACCATACAATAACACCTCAAAAGAAAATAAAGAAATCCCAGTCAACCCAACTACAAACTTTAACAACTTTCTATTTAATTCTCTCGCAAAATCACAATTCCACATCACATGCACTACATTCTCTCTTCCTCCACACCCCACTCTAGGACACATTTCCGACCTTGCCATCCTCCTTCCATACTGCATTTCTCTTGTAGGTAAACAATTATTCACAGCCATCCATGCAATATCTCTTTGTCTATTAAAAATTTCAATCTTACCCATTCTTTCCCATACTTCCTTACTCTGTACATCATTTAAGCCGTCAATCCCAGTCATACCCTCTTTTCCACTCAATATTTTAAAAACTTTCTTTTTTTCACACCATTCTTCACTAGTAACATTCTGTAATTCAAATTTCCTCACGCACACATCAATCTTTTTATAAAACCATGGGACGTTAAAACAAATCGGCTTCGTTCTATCTACAACAAGCAATCCATACTTCTGTAAGCACAAACCAGCTGCATACTTCATCATGCAAGCAACCATACTTTCTTTCTTACTAATTCTTACACACAATCTCACATAATGAATTAACAAAAATTGTTCTATATCAGGAGCGTTCATTCCACCATTCTTACAAGTTTTTACCACTTTCACTCTACTCAATCTTTCCATCCTGCAACCCCAAAAAAATAAAAACATTACTCTAACCAATTTTCTCAAACTTTTATCACTTATTGGAAAAATAAAATTTAAATACAAAATAGTAGGGATTAAAACAGTTTTCATTATTAAAACTTTCCCTTCAAAAGACAGGACTCTCATACTCCATAACCCAATTTTTTGATTTACCCTATTTAATATCTTATTCCAACTTTCTTTACCCTTCAACTCCTCATCAAATTTAACACCCAGAACCTCAATCTCATCTTCAACCACAGGCCATCCACACAGCTCCAATTCTCTCCAATGCCCGAAGGCTTTACATGCACACTTCTCCCAGTTAACTTTAAAACCACTTACCATACTAAAAATTTCCACTAACAATTTCACTCGTCTCAATCCCGCTTGTGATTTACAAATAACTGTTACATCGTCCATATATCCAATAACTTTCATACTTCTCGCACTACTTCCAGGAATTTCCACACCTTTCACTACTTTATCATTCATTATATTACGCAATAATGGTTCAATCACACAAATAAAAAGAATTGGGGACAGAGGGCATCCCTGTCTCACTCCTGAACTAACCTTAAAACTTTCTGTCATCCAGCCATTCACTTGCACAACACTTTCAACATTTTTATACAAACATCTAATCCATCTTAATAACTTAACTGGCATTCCCATCCTATCTAACACGTGAAACATAAACTCATGCGAAACTCTATCGTAAGCTTTCTCAAAATCAATTGTTGCCACAGCCACTTCTTGTTTCCTTTCCATACAAAACCATAAAACATCTCTCAATCCTATCAAACACTCCGCTATCTGTCTTCCAGGCACAGCACACACTTGCTCCTCACCAATTACATCCTCAATCACATTCTTTATTCTATTTGCTATAATTTTTGCAATAATTTTATAATCTACATTTAAAAGCGTTATTGGTCTCCAATTTTTTAATTCTAGTTTATTTCCTTTTTTAAAAATTAAAACAATCACACCTTTCCTCATTGACTCAGACATCCTACCTTCCTCCAAAACACATTGACACACTTCAAAAAAATCATCAGCAATCACATCCCAATATATTCGATAAAATTCCACAGGCAATCCATCACAACCAGGTGTCTTGTTCAATCTAAAATTACAAATGGTTTCTCGCAATTCATTCTTATCAACTTCTTTCACTAAACCGCTTTTATCTATATCATTTACACCCCTTTCAATACTCCCAATCACATCTTCATCCAATCCCACAATTCTCTTTTTCTCAGTGTACAATTCTTTATAAAAATCAAAAACTTCATTCAATATTACATTTTTTCCTTTTACAATCACACCATCCTTATTCATAATTTCTTCCATTCCTTTATTACATTCATAAACTTTCTTAAAAAAGAACCTTGTACATTTTTCATCCTTTTCTAAAATATCCAATTTAGCCGCAAACACAATATTTCTTCCTTTCTCTTCCAGCCATCTCTGTTTCATATCCTTAGCTTCTTCCAGATCATCATCCACATCCCATCCCAATCCTTTCAATTTACTTAAATAATCCATTCGTTTCCTCCACTTATCCCAACATTCTCTTTCCATTCTAGCTTTTCTCCATCCACACCTCATAAAAAATAATTTAGTATTTCCCTTCACCCATTCCCACCATTCAATTACACTATCAAACTTTACTTTGCATTCTTTCCATCTCTTATACCTTTCACAATATTCTCTTTTTATATCTTCCTCTGCTAACATTTTCACATTCATTTTCCATAATCCTCTCCCAAATTCCACTTTCATTTCCATTCTCACCTTACATTCCATAATTACATGATCAGAAAAAGGAACTTTGGATGTACGTAGAGACTCTGCACTGACACCCTGTGAAAGAAAGCAAAAATCAATACGTGATCTGACTGTACCATTAGCACTATAAAATGTAAAAACTTCATCATCATTACCCATAAGCCCCACTGTGTCCATAAACCCAAAATCCCTAACTAAGTTTAATAAATACCGCCCAGTGCTATCTAAATTGTTACCATCCCTTACCCCTATTCTATCCTCCCTCCTTATAATACAGTTGAAATCCCCAACTAAAAAAGTAACCTCCCTCCCTGGTAATACCCTCCCCAAACATTCAAAAACATTCATTCTTTCTTTCCTATCTACAGGTGCATAAACATTAATAATCCTACACACAATGCCCCTAAACAAAAAATACACAATAAGTACTCTACCCGTCACCACTTCTAACACTCTTAAAACTTCAAAATCCCTCCCCTTAAACAAAACAGCCACCCCAACACTATTTCCTTCACCGCAAGAGAATACTGACTGACCATAGTCCCATTTACATATAGTAGGCTTTTCATACAAGTTACATTCTTGTAAACATATCACCGCCATTACAAGCCTACTTAGAAAGCTGAAAATCACAGCTCTTCTGG